AACCCCAAGCATCAAAGCGATCGCCCCAACCCTGATCAGGCCAACGTCCTTGATTCTGTCCGTGAAGTTGTCTGCTCAGTCTGCTCGCTGTGACGTTCTTCCTGAAACCTCGCAAGCCTCTCACTGCACTGGCTTCATATGTCTCAGATGTGGCTGGTGTGGCCTGGCTGGTCACATTGCTGGCGTTGGCATGCGGCATGGACGAAGGCTGCGCCAACTGCTGCGACTCGCTGGCACAGCTTGTGATGACCACTGCAAAACACAAGAGCCTCGCCATGTCAAGCAGCTATAAGGTGACCTGACTTTGCTTGAGCCCAACCTTGAACTGGCAGCTCAAAAAAATTGTTAGATTGGGTCCCTTCCTACCATGGCTTTCTTGACATCCGAAAGCTTGAACACTTCCAAGGAAAGTGTGGAAGAACACACCAACTCTTTCGTCAAAGCTGCTGCAAGAATGAACCATGGAATCCAGCGCCTGTAGCTTTTGCAGTCCACATCCCCTACTGCGATGCCTCAGCAATGCTGCAATGCTGGTCAAGACTCGGAAATCGCTCTCACACCCTGTGGGTTTCCGACAAGTAGTATGCACCATGGACTTTGGGGCCAAAGACCTGGCGAGGCTACTAGTAACCAGGGCATCGCTACTAGGAGCAAGAAGCTAGTAGGTTGGAGGCCATCGCTAGTAGGTTGGAGGCCATGACTTCTAGTAGCAAGAGCATCGCTACTAGTAGCTTCCTGTTACCAGTAGCGATGCCCTGGACTCTGGCCGCTTGAGGTACCAAACAATTTTGAAAAGAATCAGTACAGCATCGTACAGCATCAGCTTCAATCAGCCTAATTATCAGTATCTGGCTGTGGCTCAAAAGAAGACCCGGGGACCGGCAGGTGTATATGTTCCTTCAGCATTCTTGAAATCAAAAATGCACCCTCTCAATCAACTACTCTGAAAAAGCAGTGATATGAAAGTCCTTTAGAGGCAAGGGTTTGGCGGTATTCTGCACTGCAGAGTCGATTTTAGGGTCAAAAGCACGCTCTTGCCTCAAATGCCCAAAGCCTTCTAACGAACAGTGAGTCAATCAAAGAAATTTGTTGAGAGGCCTTTCCTGAGGAACGAAATGAAAGAGCGAGTGACTTGCTCGTTTATTGTGTTTCTGTTGCAACTGACACGTTTCAAACGCTGCCTCTTCATATTTTCTTCGATTCTGCTTGGTGATGGTCCCGTCGGAGAGAACCCCGGCAGCATGAACAACACCTGCCTCATTCCACAGTCGATCGTCCAGGTATGTCGGGCTCGAGTGCTTGGGGCGCTGAGGAGAAAATGAAAGTTTAGTAGCTTCTTGCTACTAGTAGTGATGTAGTAGCGATGGCCTCCTAGCTAATAGCGATGTCCTCCAACCTACTAGCGATGGCCTCCTACCTAGTAGCTTCTTGTTAAAGAAAATGAAAGTTGCTGAAGAAAAGTCTCAACTGTTAAACTATTCTCAAATTGACTCAAGCTTGCATCTGGATGCCACACACACACACACACCTTTTTCAAAAAGTCCTTGTCTACTTACAAAGCATCGATTGAGGTTTTCAGTCTGCCTCACAGAGTGCTGTTCGTGTCCTCACAGACTATCAGGAGCTGCTTTCCGTGTTCGTGCATTGGGTCTCCAACACACGCAGGCCATTCTGGAGTCTCTTCAAAGAGACGCTCAATTTGCTTGGGGTCTGCAGCGTTGCCTCGACACTCGTGAAGCGTCAACAGCAGGAGTAGCCGTCGTGATGGCTATACTTGAGCTATACTTAAACTTACGAACCCAGCAGCACTCTTTACTCAGCGGTACCAACTTGAGAAACAACACAAGCAATAGCCAAATACACAAGTAACTTGAATCTATGAAATGCGCTATCGGTTGCATCAGCACTATAGGAAGCCTTCGCTCTTACGTCTGTGTCAATTGCCAAGAGACATTTTTCTCTGCGGATGGCAGCACTTGAACTTGCCTAAGAACAGCAAATGCGACTGACCTATGAATGGCTTGCGCTCTTATGAACGTCAGTGCACCTGTGTTGGCATGCGGTTTCGTCCAGGACAAGAAAGTCAACCATTTCACATGTGCCAGCTGTCCTCACGTCGTGATGGCTTTTCCGAGAATTCCAGTCTTAAGGTAGATCTTATGCAAGGCTTACGTTGCTTACTGCGGCACATGTGTGCAATGATAAGATATCCTTACGTTGTAGTTACAGCCAAGGATATACGTGCCTTCTTCAATCTCTTTGAGCGCAAAAGTCAAAATTTGCACCGTGCTCTACGGAAACCTTACAACCATATACAACCATTAGATAAAGTAATTGTGTTCACTCATTGTTTGCCGGCCCCTTACTCCAAATGAGCAGGGGCATTTAGAAAGCTGCGCAAATGGCAACAAGAATGCAATTTGAGAGAGATGAAGGGATGTATGGATATGCACTGAAGAAAGAACTGGAATTGTTGATTCGATTCAGCTGTACAAGCTAAGCAAATGTCAGAAGGGGAAAAGAGCCCCAATGATATGAGACTGAATAGACTGTATTGTCGATTGTGCATCCGCTGCTCTCATGGCAGTGGTTCCTCTATCCATGGCACAAGGTGTGACGTGAGTCTGGCAAAGTGAGAACAATAAAAACAGATGAAATGCTGGTGTTTTGGGCATTAAAGATGCCGGTACTTTCTTTTTTCATCCAGGGGCTCCTGGCATCGCTACTAGGAGCAAGGACGCTACGTTCGGGGCTCCTGACCTTGCTACTAGGAACAAGAAGCTCTTATGTCGTGAGAGATGAGATGGGAGTCGAGACGGGAAAGCAAATTGAGGGCAGAATGAGGTCGAAACCGAAGCGAACGGGTGAGCTGAGGCCTTAAGAAAGGAAGAGCTACGCAGCTACGTGGGAGGACAAGAATTTGACAAGAATCAGGCTATCTCAATCGACAGTGGGAGGACACTTTGTTGAGCAATGATCAACTTGGATCCACTCATGTGGAAACCAAATCCATCTCCCGAGGTCCCGACAATTCGCTCATAGAATTGTTTGGCTTCTTCCGGGACCTACGGTATCCCGGTACGGCCAAAGTGATTCGCTTCACATGTTGCATTGAATCCCCAGGGGCCCAAGCCTTGTCTCTTCTTGAGACGAAGAAGAGATGCCTAGCCCCTGGCAAACAAGAGCTGGTGCACCACCGCGAAAAGGAAAGCAATCCAAAGTAACCTACTAGCGATGGGCTCCAGCCTAGGATATCCTAGGCCAAAGTGAATGATGAAAGGAAAGCTGAAGCCACCTGTTACTACTAGCGTCCTTGTTACTACAAGTAAGGCACCTGTTACTACTAGCGATGCACTTGTTACTAAGGAAAGCTGAAGCCACCAGTGGATTCTGTGTTTGTGCCTCGTTCCATGAGGATGATCGCCGCAATGAGACCTAAACCTCCAACTGCTCCAGTGATGAGGTAAGACCTGAGGATGTTCGAAACCGTCACCAGTCTTGCAACTGATCAGAAACCAAGAAGTCCTTTTTTTCCACTGTGTTGTCAAATGGTGATTACGAGTTCTTGGAACCAGTTGACTCTTGCGTTCAACTCTTAAGATCTCTTCAACAGTACTGAACAATTAAGGCCAGGACGCGTTCGGGTCTGCTCTTGGCATCGGATCTACGCCCAAGTAAGTGGGCTGTACCTGTGCGACGTGCTCACGCATCGAGTGTCTCACGACATCACAAAACCCGAACGAGTCCGAGGCTCCGGCCAGCGTTCCGCACTGCGCCACCAAGATGGCTTGTTGACTAAAAATCTCACCCTGGCAGGTCCTCTTTGCCAAAATGATGTCTGTCTCGGATGGTGAGGTTTTTGCCGTTGGCCAAAACATCTGCAGTTTAGGAAGTGCTGTGAAGAGTTGATGATGGATCTACAGCCTTTTTTGTGAGGCTTTAGGGTCGGAATTCCAAACTCCACTTTAACTCGCAACGCGGCTTCCTTTAGACATGACCTTGCCGTCGCCTGGTCCGGCGTGTGCCACACATTCTTGAAGCCGCACTGTGTGAAAAGGGTGCACCACTCTGCAACGCGCAGCAAAGGATATGTGACGCGCCTCTCACCATGCAAGTTGAATGCATGGAACTACGGCTAACTTTCCATGTCTGAGACAGTCGTTGCTGAGACATTCGGTGCAAAGAGTTGGCCTTTCGCAATCTGTAAGCATCCACCATCCATCAGTCAGACCATAGGTCAAGTCCTTCCAACTGAAATAGCTATCAAGAAGCAGTACAAACTGAAATTGATTCCTTTAGCCTCACTCACAAATAAGAAATTATTCTCGTGCTTCACCTCATCGCGCTAAATTGGGACAGCATTGGCATAACATATCAAGCTGACATGGGAAAACAAAGACAAGTAAAAGGTAATGTATTTCCCACGCGTCCATCCTCTGGAAGGGTTCCAGGATTTTGCACTTCATTGAAGACTATGTGGCCACCCGGCTGCAAAAGGACATGGATTGTGGCCATGGTGGAAGCCAAATGCATAGTTGCATGGATCACATTGGTGGCCAGGATCGCAGTCATCTCGTGGCTATTGAAGCCCTGACAAGACCAGACTTTTCGCGACGTCTCAGATTTTAGACAACTATAGAATCAATATATAGAATACATCAACCTAGACCAACCTAAACGAAATGGCCTCCAACCTAAGAATGATGGCCTCCAACCGAATAGCAATGACCTCCAACCTCATAGCAATGGCCTCCATGGCCTCCAACCTAAGAGCGATGGCCTCCAACCTAAGAGCGATGGCCTCCAACCTAATAGCAATGACCTCCAACCTCATAGCAATGACCTCCAACCTCATAGCAATGGCCTCCATGGCCTCCAACCTAAAAGCAATGGCCTCCAACCTAAGAATGATGGCCTCCAACCTAATAGCAATGACCTCCAACCTCATAGCAATGGCCTCCA